ATGTGGTGCTGGGGATTGAACCGTGGTCCCTGATGCTTTGCTAAGCTTGTTCTAAGTAGGTGCTTTAGACCACTGAGCCATCTCACCAGCCCCTGCTTTTCTTTATGTTTTAAAAACACTGTATTTTGTAATGATAAGTCCTTAATCTCAGTGAAACGCAGAATAAGCATCAAAACTGCATTTCCATCTCTTGTCATTTCTCTAGGCTACCTCGGTAAGTGCTCAAGGAACATTTCACAGGAGGTATTACCTAACGAGAAGGTGGCCTAGTAGCTTTGTTTCTCAATTGTCCTGTGCTTTTGCAGTGTGAGTTGCTTTTACTTCCATCTGTTATTTCCACACTACTGTTGCTCTTCTTTGTCACTAAATCTCTTTTCAATCACAAGAAGTAGACCTACCACTAGTAATGCATCAGAATCGTCAGAGACTTCTAAGAAATCAGATTATGCAGGCTGGGCTCCAACTTGGGGTCCTCCTGGTTCAGCCACCCAGAGTGCTCGGATTACAGGTGTGGACCATCACACCTAGCTCTTCTACTTTTTTTTGAGGCAGAGTCTTGTTTTGTAGTTCAGCCTGGCCTTGAACTCACTGTGTAGCCCAGGCTGGCATCAAACTCATAGTACTCCTTGCCTCAGCCTCCTGAGTGCTGGGATTGCAGGTGTGCACCACCATACCCAGCTTTTTTTTTTTTTTTTATTTAAATTTACTTTTTTTCTTTTTAATGTCTGTCACATTTTCAGCCAGCTAGCCACCTTTTATTGAGTGCCTGTTGTAAGCTAGAGTTTGAAGAGAAACTATTGTATTAATAATCACTTCGTTTAAAATTATTTTTATTCTGTTAACCAGAATGCATGCCAACTGTCCTTTCCCATTTCAGCTTACTTAACTAGAGGGACACGTTCATGCATCCATTCAGAGGCAGAAGCTAAACGCCCACTATAGGATTATATTCTGGCCAGTTGTAGGTTTTCCTTTTGCTTCTTTGTTGTTTTTATGTGAAATCAGTATGGTGAAACTACAGGGGGTATGCTGGAGGGCTAATGATTGGTCAAATTATAATTTCTAGGATGTTCAATTTCTACTTTTAGGATAGCAAATAACTATAATAAAGTAGATAGTGATAAAGTGATGCATAGCATAAGAAACCATGAAATTCAGACAGGGAAAACTGTGCGTGAATAAGAAGCTGTTGTCCTACTTTGTGTTGTCGTTGATTAACATACGCTACTTTAATATTCATAATTCATGTATGACCTGTAGTGTATGTGAAGAATGTTACTGAGCCAGGCGTGACGCCGCGTGCCTTCGTTCCAGCACTTGGAAGGCCGAGGCAGGCCGATGGTGAATTTGAGGGCAGCCTGGGCTTGAACATAGCAAGTTTGAGATCTGCCCGGAGTACACAGTAAGACCCTATATCTACAACAAAGGAGAAAATGAACATTCATTTTTATTTTCCAACTAATTTATTTGGCTGTTTATAACGTCTATACAAATAATACTTAGCAGAACTCTGGCAGCTTTGCCGCTGCAGTAAAGGCTGTGTGATGTTTCTGAATTGAATCAGTTCAAATTTTGTAAGGAGTACCGGAAGTGCACTTACGGGCATTTGTTCATATTCTTGAGGGTGTTTCTCACACTCTCTTGGTGGTGAAGCCTAGGTGTGCTGCGCGTGCCCGCCCGCACACGGTCCCCTCGGCCACCCGCTCTGCTAGTCATTTCCCAGGCCGAATTTCCCCGTTGGGTCCCCACTGTTGCTCTTGCATCTTCAGCTTTATACTTTTAAAAAAACATTCTGGCAGCGCCTTCTCCCGCTTGCCTTCCGAAACGCACCTCCGACCTCAAAGCTGCAGAGCTTTGCTCCCCACCGGCCGGCTGAGCCACCGCGCCCTGAAGCCGCCGTCCTCCTCCCCCGCGGGTGGCCCGCGCTGCCCAGAGGCTGGCCTGCCCGCCGCGGCCGCCCGCGCTCCCCACCCGCCGCCCCTCCGGGTGGCTGCGGCCCCCAGGCCTGCTCCCCGCGTCCCCCTCTCCAGTGCTTCCTGCAGGCTTTCTCCCGGCCCCTCGTTTGCAAGGCCGGGTTCTGGCTCCTCGCCGTGGTGGTCAGCTGCTGCGCCTTCTCCGTTCCGACAGCCCTGCGCTCGGTCTCCAGGCCTCCCTCGTGGCCGCCGGCCCGGATGCCTTCCCTGGAGGAGCCCTGCGCGGCCGGTCAGCTTCCCTCCGCCTTCACCTTCAGGGTGGCCTCACGCAGCGCTTTTCCTGGCCGCGCCACTAAGCAGGCCCGGGTCTGGTTTTCTCCAGTCACTTCCCTTGCTTGCTTTTCATCACAGCACTAATTTCTTTTCTCTATCTCTACTGAAAAGGATGAGCTTAGCGCGCGGTACAATGTGTAATGCAATAAAATGAACATACTGCTAGGCTTGTTATCATTGTGTGTGGGACGCAAGTATTTATCGTTTCTCACCCCTTGGTCAGATGTTTGCATATTTGTTGTGGCAGCCCCCCTGTTCCCTGGGGGTTAGAAGACTTGAGTTCCAGGGCCCGATCTCCTGCAGTGCTTTGCAACTTGGGAAGGCGCAGCGGTGGGTTTCCTCATCCGTAGCTGGAGGAGACCCGAGTGTGTAGCTGAGAACCTCGCTACCTGACAGTCTGTGAAAAATATATGATTTGTTTGTTTATTTATTTGGACACAGGCTTTTGCATGTAGTTCAGGCTGGGAATACAAGCATTTATCACCACGCTGGGCTCTTTAGGGTTTGTTTTAATAAATACCATTTTTATCATATGAAAATTTTATGCCAGTGAACTCTCGAATACCCAGAGAACTTGAGAATTTTATGCTGAGGTTAACTGAGTCGTCAGTTTCATAGGTGAGTTTTCCAACTACCTGATGTACTTAATTTCATTCTGTACAGAAGTTAAACATAAAAAATTGAATATAAAACAGAACATATGTATATTATTTAGGCCTTCCTGCCTTCAAAAGGAATATTTAGATTTTAATTTCTTTATTTTTATTTTTTAATTTAATTTAAAAAAATTTTGTATTTTTAGGGAGGGGTCTACTGGGTGTTCAGGGTCTCACTACTAGATCGGACTCAGAGTGATCCGCCTGTTTACGGCCTCCCAAGAGCTGGGATTACAGGTGTGCGCCACCATGTCTAGTCTCAGTTGCCCTCGAAGTGCACCCCAGGGGCAGGACCGGCATGGCAGGCCCAGGGATTAAACCCCTGGCCGCTGGGCCTGCTTGCAAATACTTTAATCTGCCTGGCTATTATTTATTTTTATTTTTTAAAGAGCATACAAAATAGTGATAAAAAAATTAGACATAATACAGAATCTCATTAAAGTAATATGAATGGGAGAGTATTTGTTGTGTTGTATAGTGTTACCTTCAGTTTATTCAGATTACCAGATATACACATACAAACTGGAAAAAGAAAGAAAGTAGTTGTAAGAAATTAAGAAAAAAAGACGCAAGATAAAAACAAGAAAAAGTCAAGCATTATGTCTTAGTTACTCGTCTCTCCTTGCTGGGACAAATTCCTGCCACTCAAGATGAAGGAAGGCAAAGTTTATTCAGCTTACAGTTAGTGGAGGTTTTAGTCCACACTCCGCTGGCTCCAAGGCAGACACAGTAGTTCATGGCAGCAGAGTAGGAAGAGGAGCAGAGGAGGAGCCCCAGCTGCGCGTCCATCAAGCCTCCCTCTTCCACTGACCGCGAAGATCAGAGCTCTTCCAAAGTGGCACAGCTGCAAAGTGGCGCGGTGAAGACTGGGACTTCTCCAAGGAAGCAAGGAGGGCTGAGAAGCCTTCCTCAACTCCTTTATATACACTTCTTGAGCTGAGTCACTTTTGGGGGGCCCAATTGCACCCCAGGGCAGGACCAATTGTGCCCTAGGGCTGGGCAAGGCCCCCAGGGCCAGAACAGCTCCTACCTAATCCAGCCAAGCTCCTGGCATCTCCAGCTGACACAACATTATCAACTACCGCACATGAACTGCTCCTTTTCATAGACCAGCAGAAGTCCACAGTACAGTTATCCACGGCATCCTACATACATACGTAGATATATCTCTCACATTCCCTCTCCTGTCCTTACCCTCATCTCAGTAATTCCTTCCTTTTGGACAGATTAATTCTCTTTTTCACAGTATCCATTGTACCCTTCAGATTGTATTTACCTTTTTAGGTTCTCACACCAAGGAGACAATATGATGTTTGCACATGGGGGTCTGATTTATTTCTCTTAGAAGTGTGGTCTCTAGTTGCATCCATTCACTGATAAAAACCTCAAAATTATCCTTTTTATAGCTGAATAATACCACACTGTGTAAAAATACCACATCTTTATCCGTTCCTCAGTTGATGGGCATGTGGGTTGCTTCTAAGATCTAGCCTTGACAAATTGCACTGCTGTAAGCATGGCTGCATGTAGATCGCTGGGGTATAATGGTTCCGTTTCTTCTGGCAAAATAGCCAGCTGGGTTGAATGAGACTTCCAAGTCTAATTTTTGGGGAAATTTCCACACATTTCCATAGTGGTTGTACCAAGCTACACTTCCACCAATAGTG